CTTGCATAATTTGAAGTTCTAATATTGCAAATTGATAATAATAATATTTAAAATATTTTTTTTAGTTTTTTTTTAGTAAAGTAATGTTTTATTTATTATTAAATTAAAATATAATAGAATAGTTAAGATAGTATAAAAAGTTAATTTAAATTATTTTTTATTTAATATAAAAAAATTATAAAGACTAGTTAAAATTTAAATGATTTTTATTAGAAGTAATTATTAATTTTTATATTGAGATATAAATCTTTTTGCACTAATTCATATTATAAATATAAATTAATTTAAAATATACTTACTACTTAACTGATTTTATTTTATTATAAATATATACAAAAATTAATCAGTTATATTTAGAAGTTACAGATAATATTAAAATTATTAAAATATATAATACTAATTATACTAATTCAAATACTACTTATATAAAATTTGCAATTTATTAAGTAATTAAATCAATATTATTAATATATTTTCATGTTAATATATTACTAAAAAGATCTGATTTTGCTTTGTATCATATATTTTGACTTTTAATAAAAATTAAGATTTTATTTATAATATTATTTGACAATTATCTTTCAAAAAAGTGTGAATTCAATAAATAAGTAATCAGTATAATTAAATTATAAATTTTTTTCAGCTTGCAATTATTATTTTATTTATTTATATTACAATTAATAAATTTAAAATAGCTAATAAAATTATAAATATAAGTATTAATTAATATTAATTTAATATATTATAATATTTTAATAATTTATCTTTTAAATTTTCTAAAATTTTATATCATTTATGAAAATAAGAAAGTTTTGAAATATTACTTTCAAAAATTATAATATCTTTAATAATTTCTTCAAGAATTACAAGAAATTCTATAGTTTCTTTTTAAAAATCTTTGTTTAATATATTATTTTTAATTAATTAATTTATTATTATATTTAAATAGATTGAAATTTCATGAATAGCTAATTCAAGAGCCAATTGATTTGTTTTAAGTGATATAAAACAAGTTATACTAGATCTTTATCAAACTTTTACTGGAAGTTTAAGTATATTCTAAGTATTTATTTTTTGATATCATTTCAAAATTGCTGTTAAAATATGATGAGATTTAAAATATTTAATTATTTCTTTAGCTTTTGACTAGTAATAGAAGCTGCAACTAGCCATAACTCTATCACAATTCTCTGATTGACTACCGCAAGTCACAACTAGTTGAGAAGTCATCTTTACTTTTGATATTATATTTTTTGTCCAGTTAAGTTTTATAATATTATTAATTAATAAATTAAGTATATATATTAAATATTTAATGAATATAATATTTTAATACTTGTTAGTTAAAATTCTTTGGGCAGATATCATTACTAAAGTATTATTTATAATTATAGCTGATAGTTTTTTTATATCAATTGTACTCATTATTTTATTCATATTTGTAGAAATATTTATTACATTTTATTTAGTTTCACCTGTAGATTTAGCTAAAATAAATATTGATGTTGATGTAGTTAAAATAAAATTAGATCAATATTTTGAATAATATTTGATCTATAATTATAATATTAATTAGAATAAAAAGAAAATTTTATAACAAATACAAATAATAAATATAATTTACCATCCATCACAAATAAGACAAACATATTCAGCATTATCTATATAATTTTCTACTTTGTTTTTAGTATCTTGATACTTCATTAGGTAAATGATTTGATATTTTTTTTACATGATGGAAGCTTTAATGCTGGACATATTTTTTTGATCCAATTCTTTAATGGTTTCATTTCTGAAAGTGATAGTTATAATCCACATCTGAAAATAGCTTCTGAAAATGCCTTTTCATTTTCCTCTTGCTCAGAATGTGAAATTCTATCAACAAAATTATTGATATTGCCATTTGTATATTTCATAATTGTTGATTATTAATAAGATTAATTGCATTTGTAGGACTAGTAATTGTATTGATATTTGAACTAGTAATAGTATTAATTGGTAGAATTAGTATTCGATATTGTATTGATATTTAATGTGTGTTTCCTGTAGGTGAATTGGCATTGAGTGAACTTGTATTAGCCATTTCTGGATTTTCAAAGCTCATACCAAAAAATGATCGTTTAACTTCAATTGAGACATTTGGACATACGCGCAGATGTGACTTACACTGAATTACTGAATTATTGCATTGATATTTAGGGATTTTCACAGTATTTACATTCTGCACGCTGTTGTCGAAATCTAGCAATATGACCAATTTGATTAAAATATTCCCATATAGAACTTCGAGAAGCCATAATGATAAAATATGTACAATAAAGATGTAGATGTTATCGTTATACGTATGTTCTGCATAAATGCGTTATCATTATTTATTGACTTAATTGGAACTTAACAATATATTGTGTATGGGCATTTCCGATATCGGTTAGTAACTATGCGCATAAGCACATCTCTAGCAAAGATATCGCGATTTAACAAACTCAATTTTGCATTGCTTTACTTTTGACTCGCCACTGTACGTCTCATCGTTATCTTTGAGATACATGTGTATGAATTGGTGTTCCCATTTTTGGCGTAGCGGTATGTCTATAGGGCATACATTATATAAGCCTATAAAAAGTAATGATCAGACACGTTACTCTGAAATTTTTTATGTGCCATTGTAAGATTCCATTGTAAATTTCAGCATTATACATTTTTTTTAGCTTCGGGCTGAGACCAGAGCAATTGCTTGTTTTATTAACAACCCAGGGTTTATTTCACGTGTTAATTACTATTGGTTATTATCATAATATGACATATACATGTACAATGTATTTTGCCCATATTGATAATATACATTATTCCTTACACTGTACCCCGTTGTATTCTGTCCCTACATCGTACCACTTAGAACCTATAACGTTGGATAGAATTTATTTTATAAATAGGGTATTCTTTTGAAACGAGAAAACGTATCTTTCTTCTTAATTGTAAGAATAGTGTTTTATTCCATTTCCTCTTTGTTGACTTTTCAAGATGAATGTTTCTGGTGAAAGACAAAAAATAAAATTTGATATGCCTTCGAAATTATTTCTTATTGTTAATGACAATAATACAATAATCATAACTTTTGAATACCCCGATTGCAAACACAATTATACCTTAAACATACACACAAATAGATCAATCTATAAAAATCGTCAGTCTGTCTATACAAGATCAGCCAACTATTATATGTTATGGAGAAGCTGCTTATCAAACGGGGTCTCAGGAAAATTACATTGTAACGAACGATCGTGTCCGTTATCATGCTTGAGAGCTGATCAACAGGTTATTTACATATCACAACTCAGTGCATATTTTAAAAAATCCTATGAAAACGAATTAGCTCGTGTTTTTTCTCCAATTTACAAAGAAATAAAAAAACATATAAAGAAAATGTCAACTAATGCGTGAGTCTCAACTTTTTTCCTTTTTTTTGTTATGCATCTTTTAATTAAAAATTTACTTGATTTTATGTTAAAGACCTGGTGATGGCCCTGAATCGGCTCCAGTTCCCATTAATAGTGTTGATTCCGAGTCACTTAAAAATTATGCATCAACTTCGGCTCCCAATCATGGTGTTGACTCCAACTCGGTTATAAATCGTGAACCAACTTCAGTTCCAATTAATAATATTTGCTCCGACTCGGTTATTAACCACGAAGTAACAGTTCCCATTGATGTTAGTTCCGACTCAGCTGTTGATGACGAGCAAACTTCAGCTCAAATTGATAGTGTCGGCTCCGAATCGGCTAATAATGGTTCCGACTCAGCTATATATCATAATCAAACTTCTGTTCCTACTCATGTGTTAATCTTAACTCCCGTTTATTATACCAATTACGACTCGGCTAATAACCGTGTATTAATTCCTTCTCATGGTATTTATTTTTATTTATGATTATTGAGTAAACTTCCAGTTCCCAATCATGGCGTTGACTCCGACTCTCACATTCACGGTATTGGCACCAATACGTCTATAAATTATGAGCAAACTTCAGTTCCTAATCATGGTCTTGATTCCGACCCACCTTCAATTCACTTTCACATTCACAGTATTGACACCAACTCGTTTATAAATTACGAACAAACTTCAGTTCCCAATCATGACATTAGCTCCGATTCAGTTTCAATTCCCATTCACAATATTGACATCATCTCGTCTATAAATAATAGGAAAAATTTCGGTTCCCATTGATGGTATTAGTACGACTCACTTTAAATTATGAGCAAACTTCAGTTCCCAATCATGGCGTTGACTCCGACTCAGCTGTAAATTATGGGAAAACTTCAGTTCCCAATCATCGCGTTGACTCCAACTCAGCTTCGATTCCCCTTCACACTACGGTATTGACACTGTCTCGTCTACAAATTATGAGCGAACTTCATTTCTAATTGATAATGTTAGTTCCGACTCGACTATTAATTACCAGTTCCCATTCATGAAGTTGGTTCCGATTTGTATAAGTTATGAGCAAACTTCAGTTCCCAATCATGGTATTTACTCCGAATCACATAAAAATTATACACCAACTTCAGCGCCCAATTGATAGTGTTAGTTCCGGCTCGCATATGAACAAATATCAGTCCCCTTCATGTATTGGTTCCGACTCAGCTTTCCCATTCGTTGGAATTATGAACTAATTTCAGTTCCCATTCATGAAGTTGGTCCTGAGTCGGAAACAAATTATGCGAGAGATATAAAGAGGACAAATCAATTTCAAATTCTTGGATAATATTTTATAGCCTCTCAAAAGCAATTTGCCCTGGGAAACTTCGGATTATAATCATCCAGCTATTTTTACTTCGAGATTTAATTTAAAAACAATTTATTCAAAAGTCTTAACTTATCTTGATATTGTCTGGTGGTACCAAACATCGAAGTGTAGATTATCCTTCTAGTTCAAGGAATACTCCTCATCCATTTCCACAAAACATATTTGAACCTTTCTAAAATTACTTTATCGTTTTTCAAAAATTATATAGGTTTTTTTATTTTATGTTACCTTAAAACTTTCGCATCGGATGTGTGATTTTTTCATCACCGAGTTTACTATCGTATTTAGAAAATTTCTTATTTAGATTCTTGGTATTACATGTGCATGTAGCATGAACGAGAAGTTTGTTTCGTATTACATGAACCTTATTTGTTTCACTTTAAATTTTCCACTTTGTCATGAAGTGTTAACTTTAAAATAAAAAAACACAAAATAAAATCGTAATATATGTGCTTATGCCAAGCAGTTGTGCGCTTTATATTCGTATTTAATAAATGCCATGAAATGAACTGTTTAGTTTTTTTTAATACAAATAATTACCATTTTCAAAGTCTATTGTGCATCATTGGGTCTAAAACACACGTATCAACTTCAGATCCATATATTAAATTTTACAGCATCTTAAGAGTAATTCGAGATTACAGTCCACCGCTCTAATAAGAACATTCTATATTATATTATATGAAAAATATTTCAAAACCAACTTATTATAAAGTATATTAGAATTTCTCAATATACATGTAAAAAAACCAAAAGTTTTTTATTGTTGCTAAACATCTTATTTTTTGATCAATGCACCTGGAAAAGGATCATTTTTAGCCAAACGGTGCTAATAAATATTCATGTACGTGTACTGTACATTTATGGTTACACCTGTTTGGGTAAAGGTTAATTTTGGGAGAGATTAGGGAATTATAAAGCAAATGGTGTCTAATGCCTGTGCCGATATCTTCGGATATCATTATCTACAGGTTTTTAGGATGGGGAATTTACAAATATAAATTGTATCTCCTAATTCTTTTTATGGTCCAGTGCGATACATGAAAATCATTACTCGAATTTCTCCACTGATACCAAAAACCAGGGGATCGGTTAAAGCGTAGCCCATCATGTGATCCATGTCCAATGGGAGTGCGCAAATTTTTTGATCAACCCGGCAAAACAAATCCGACACAAGATATGAAAAATTAATATTACTCGAAAACCAATGCCTAAAATCTGTTTTGGAATATTAATTAAAATTGTCGGGACTGCAATTTTACATATAATATTGTTCTCTGTCCTAATCGGTATCCTTACCCAGACCTTATAAATCATAAAAATCATTAAAAGTAAACTAAAAATTTAAGGCGATTGATCACATAATGGATTACGCTTTAATCATTCTCCATAACAGGTAAAGACTATTCCAAATTTTAAGTTGCTCACAAATTTGGCCATTTTTTTTAGATGGATGACTTGAATAAAGATCAAATTTCTTTAACTGATAATGAAAGAAGTATAATTTTTAGTACTTATAAATACTTTTTGGAGATTTGACAACATGAGAAGCAATATCAGAATGTACACACCCCTACAATATATTATCAGAAATCCTAAAAATGAATCTGCCACTTTGAAATCCAATATCTCAAAATTAATGATCTAATTTAAATGAAAATACTCCATTAAATTTGTTGCGACTCCACGAATCTTATAATAATATCTTTATTTAAATAAGATCACTAGATTACAAGAAATTGGATTCCAAAATTGATAATTTCATTTTTGAAATTTCTGGTAATATATTGTAGAGGTATGTATTACTATACAAGCAAATTGCTATAGTTCTTGACATCAGAGAGATCACAGTTATGTGTATGTGATTGCTAAACAAAATAAAAAAATAAAGAATTTCCACCTTGAAAAAATCTAGGTTGATCAAAAAAAAAGAATTTGATTACAGTATTTTCAAACTTATTTAGAATTTTACTATATTTACAAATACTTCTAGTATTTCACTTTCAATATATATATTATTACAGAAACTTAAAAAAAAATGATTATAAACTTTTAAAATAATAGTTGCTTTATATATTATGACTATGGAGAGTATCAAAATATATTATATAAATTTCTAACAAATATTATCTTTTATGGCTCTTATTTGTAATATCAATTCAAAAATTTGCAGAAAAAAAATAAAATTCTAATTAGATTAGAAGTTTTTTTAAATAAATTATATTATTATTTTATTATATTACAAATTGTATTTGGATATCAAATTATAGAGTTATATATTCATCAGAATATGATTCTTTAATCATGATTTTTGAAGTAATAATATAATATAAAATGATAATATCAACAAGATTCTCAGTGAAATTATTTTTAATTTTCTTTTAATATGGAATCTATCAATCAAATCATCTTTATTAAGAGAAAGAAAATATCTGAAATAAAATTTTCAAAGTTATTAAAAATTCTAATATATAACAAATCAAGTTAATTATTATAATAATATTATAACTGAAATCTTTAAAAATCTTTTTAATAAACTTTATATTAATATTAAAACTAGTGGATATTATATGAATAATGCTTATTATTATAAATATTGAATTAAAATAAGTATCAATATCAAACTTAAAAAAGCAGATTTTGATAACATAGGTATTATCAGTTAGTAATAACATTTCAAAAAATTTTAGCAAAGTAAAATTATGATTTCTATTTGAATCTTTTAACTATTAAAGATAAATTATTATATATCTTTAACGAAAAGATTATAACTAAAGTTATTATTAGTTTTTTGAAAAGATCACTTGATAAGATCATAGAATATAAAGAATCAAATGATAATATATTATTGGTTAAAAGTGATAATAATGATTTTGAAGTCAAGAAAATTGATGATTTATAAAATTTTTTATAGAAATTAGATATTTTAATAAAAATTACATAAAAATATTTCTTAAAATCTATATAGTAAATAATATTATTTAAATATTTATATTAAGTTAGGTTTGTTAAAAAATTTTTTACTATAAATACCTTAGTATATTTATATTTTTGCACTGGATCATACTAGAAAATGATGAACCATTGTGAATTCGAAGTGATAAATTTTTTATTTATTTATAACTAGTCATGTGATATAATAACTAGAAACTCTATGTAATAATTAATTTTTCACATATTACAGAATAATATATAGTCCATTCTTATGCTTTGGATAATTAAAGGTTATTTAAATTATCTTATAGATTCTTAAACTAATTATTTATGTAAACATTACTTTTTATAAACAAAAATCATAAACTCTAACAATTAGTACAATAATTGTACAACTTTCTGTGTAAAGAACCTAATTATTAATCAATTTAACAGATTTCCATGGATCTTAGTAGATTAAAGGTAATTATATAAAGGCAATTTGTATATAATTATAAGTGATTATATAAATCAAGCTTTAAAACATACTTTATTTGACTTTACATAACTATTCTCTTATATATTTGCTTATTATATTTTATGAAAGAAATTAAATTAAAAAAAATTTTGATGTGATTAAATTTATATGATAATCTTAGTAATATTATTCCTGTCAAACTTGAAAAGTTAGATTTAGAGTTAGACCAGTATGATATTATAACCTTTGTGCTTCTTATTTTAGCCATTCCAATTCTTTTTAAATGATATCAATTTTATTTCTAGTGATATTTTGACTAATAGAATGATAAAATAATAGTATCATATTAGTTCTTATAATTGTTCTTGACTTATCTTAATTAATCATATATATGATATCAGTTAATATTTATTATATTTTAGACTTCCAGCTTTGATTACTCTATTAATATTATTCTAATACTTCTATATTTATTTCATCAGAAATGGTCTGTAATTACTGATTTAAGTTTTGCTATTACTTGGTTAAAGTTTTTGGAAATGAATGATAGGAACTTAAACAGATCAGTCTGGCTACTAATAATTGAGATTATAATATTAAAAGTTTGCATATATATAAGAAAGAATTTCTAGTTTCTTACATAATAATTTTATTAGCAATTATAATAATAACTCTCTTAAAGTAATATTCACATAATTCTAATTATAGTTAATAAAGATTTGTGATAGGAAGATGAGCAGATTTATGTTTATTTGTTCATTCTAAAAAAAATTAGAAAAAAAACTTTAGTAAAAAATTTTTCTATATAATCCTATTAAATATTTATTATTTATTTTCTTGATAACTAATTCTTAGTTTTCATGATAAAGTTTTAACTTAAAAAATTATTTTAATAGCTGTTCTTATTGATCTTGCAGTCTATATATATTATTGCTATATGTTTCATAGACATAATACTAAGTTGTACTCTATTATAGCTTGAACTTATTGTCATATCTAGTATATTAACTTATATTATAGATCAATAATTTATTGCTTATTTGAAACTGGATCATTTTTTGAAATTACTAATTGTGTTTAGCTTTAGATTTTTCTTGATTTCAAGTAGCTTCTTCTTTGATATCTGTAATTATCTCAGATAATTAGTGAATTAAAGTAAAGATTCAGCATAGAATTTACTTATAAAGATAAGTATCAGCTTCTTTATATATCAGAAATTATAGTTT